GGGTGTGGGGAGTATTAATGCCTCCTGCAGCACAACAATATTGTAACAACACAATACACATTGTCAACCACAAGGCTTTAGCACATAAACAAGGATGACCATCCACATGGCTGATCTTTTAGTCCACAGTCCCTCTGGAGGTAGTCCAGGTACCACATGGCCCAAAGCTTCCAACAGAAATGATATTATTAATACTCTCCTGTGCAGCCCAAGGCCTATCGGTAAACAAAGATACTCTTATGCTGCAGGACATTCCAGGGGCCTAGACATCACCTCCCAGCAAAGGGCAAAGGCCACACCTCCCTTTGGATATGTTAGTGCTTTACTACACACATAGTCCTAAGAAAAATGATACTTTTTACAGTTTTGAATAAGATATCTGTCATTGACCATAACTTGAATTCTCCAACTGTTTGCTTTTTGATGGTTCTGTCACATAGTTTTGGCTATTTCGATTGACTGCGCACCCAAATGTTATACGGAGTTTTCTTATCGAAGGCTATTTTTTGTACTTTATTCAGATGAACGACTTCGGCAGTCTCCTCCTTGACTTACACTCCCAACTGCCTTCCAAACCTTGGCTGCAGGAAAGAAGCCTGAGGAGAGGTGGAGATCACGTTGGGGGCAGTTCCGAGTTCTTGAGCTTCATTTTGGTGGCGTGGGTTTGCAGCGCTATACACAGGAAGAAAGGCTCCCTTTGCTTTATTTGAACAGCAGCATTTGAGTGACTTTTCCTTTCATAACCATGACATCTGCTACCATGGATAGGGAACAGGAATGTGGAAAAGTGAAGGACTAAAGTTTTAGAATTTGGTCTAAAACTTTAACCATGAAGGTTAAGCTGTATCTCCTAAGTACAAAACAATGTAAGTATCACAACCAAGTTATGGCTATTTTTTAGGAAAGACAGAGAAGCACAGGGGGAAGAACAGAGGTGAGAAAACTTGAGAGGGACTCAGAAAAAGAATGGAAGAAGCAAATGGCTACTACAAAAGGACAGACGGAGCCTGAAGACCAAAGAGAAGCCACAGAGCACGCTAGTCAAAGAAAGCAGAAAGGGAAAAGAGGGAGATGAGGGGATACACCTTGTCATGTTTTGGATGCTTCAGCTGGGTATACCACCTGTTACACACTGAAATACTCCCCGCATTCCTTGGGTTTTGGGGTGAGTGGATGGATTACAATGTTACCGCATCTGGGAGATACTCTCCGATCAGCAAAAGTCCAACGGCGCCCTTCTATCCCATTCTTAACTTATTCTGTTCACTCTTCATTACACTTAGCAAAAGTGACATGGATTTGTATATTGTTTCTTTCCTCTTCCCATTCTCCAGACAGCAAGCTCCACTGGTAGGGTTGGTCTTTTTTTGCTGCTGACTCCCCAGTGCCTGAGGCTGTTGCAGGCATACAATGGGCTCTCGAGGAGGATCTGCAGCAATCATAACTAACAAAGTATATGTATATCTATAACAACAGCGATAGAGGCCAGAGCTGAGTTGTTGCAATGGTTCAATAAACGAAGTGACTCAGGCTTTGGGGGACTTATTTTCCACATTTATACAACAACAATAAAATAATTCTAAGAAGTCGTGTACTATTAAGCATTAAGTGAGATAAATCATGTAACGTTCTTAAAATGCTTATAGACATTTAGTATACACTCACCAATTGTTAGCAGGTACTATATTTTCTTTAGTCACTGAATTAAAAGGACAATCAGAGTAGTCAGTTCTTCTCGGGTCAAAAACTAAAGAGAAAAGATGAGCTTTGAACTGCTCAAATCCCACCTCCAGCACTATATTTGGGGGATTTGGAACAAAGATCATCTTGTTCAGGAATATCTCTTGGCTAAGCATGGTTTGAGACATTATCTGTTCATGCTACAAATGACTGAGGCATAGGTAATATTGGAGTAAAGGTATCTCATAGCACATTATACAGACATGTGATAAAACACCTCTCTTCCCTGTACATCAAATATCAATACTGATTGCAAAATGGCACCGAAGAAATAAACCATTTTTATTTCTTCAGTTATAGGAGAGAGATGCAGAGAAGAAGTGAATGCAATGAGTAACTGAAAATGTGGATGAGCTCATAGAATTTATGAAGTATAAAAGTCTGATCCGCCTGAGAATGATTGATTAGCGTGTATATCCTGCTCAAATCTAACCTGTCCTGGTTTGTTTTACACTGATTCATCAGGAGAGCATTACCTCGGGAAGAGCCTAAATAAAAGTGTTTTAGCATTTTCACTGTAGTTTTGCTCTAATTATAAAAATAGAATCTACTTCCTTACAGGCCCAGTGACTGGGAATTCATATTTACCATGGAGTACCTTTGATGGAGACGTCTAAGTGAGGACAAAACGTCTGTAGATGAGAGGTTATCATTAATCGGACCTGGAGAAATGGAACGCTGCATTCATTGTTGATTCAAATCCCTCCCCCAGATCTCGCCTTTCTAGACATATGTAATTTTCACCTTATACTCTGGCATCGAAGTCTGAGTGGGTAAGGGCTAAGCCCTGTTTTGGCTTTGGTAACGATCTTGAAGGTAAACAGCTCTGTTTAGCTCAGCTGACATTTGAAGAGGCACCTCCAGCACCTGACCTAAGGGAAGCACAATACTTCAAAGCAGTCCCAAACTTCAGCGCGCACCCAAATCAGCTGAAGTGTTTTTTAAAGCTCAGACTGCTGGGCCCCACCTCACAGATGCTGATGCACTGGACCTCTAGCAGGATCGGATTATTTGCATTCCTACACTGTCCAGGTGCTGCCGATGCTGCGGGTCCGGGGACTCACGCCAGAGAACTGCGCTTTCGACCGGAAGAGAGGATTTCCTTGAAATACTAGTGCCGAACAGCAACACAATTACACTCCGGTTTCAACTGGAACTGCAGAGGCCGAAAAATTGGCAGCGGCCGCCACCCACCCTCCGCGTCCACGCAGGCGTGGAAGGCGCCCTGAGGTCCGGCAAGCCCCGCCCCCTCACCCCAGGCTCCTGGCCACGCCCTCCAACCGCCCCCTCATTGGGCCGTTTCCACGCCCGCGTCCCGCCCATTGCCCCAACGAGCCTCCCGTCACGTTACGTTCTTCCGGCTCCCCTGCGGGGTCGCGCGTCTTCTCGCTTCTTCCCGTCGCCTTCGCCGGGGCGGGGTCCCGCGGCGCCCCCTGCTGGTGCGCAGACGCTGGTCACCCGGCGTCGCGGAGCTGCGGTTGGCAGGGAAGAACGCAGAGCCGAGCGCTGTGCCGCCCGAGCAGCAGGGCGGCAGTGTCCCTGTGTCCCTCCTGTCCGTCCTGTGCAGTGGCCGAGGGACCCTCCCAGCGCCTCCGCGGGACGGCCGGCTCGCACGCCCCCTGCTCACGGTCCTCAGGTTTCTAGGG